GAGGGGGCTGCGCTGGCTGCAGAGAGTGCGTGCCCAGAGAGCGTGTCCAGGAGTGAGCCAGCCAGCACGGTGGGCACCAAGTGTCTAATGAGCTGGAGGGGTTTTGCTTGCTCTTCCAAGGAGGAAGGGAAACAAATAGAAAACCCAACACAAAGCAAAGCAGTTATGTACAGATGCTTAGCGCTAGAGAGGGATAGCGTCACGAACATGGGCTGCTTGGGGCACACAGTACAGGGAGAAAAGGTTGTTGCCAATGGGTAGCAAGGACTGAGAAGAGCTAGTCTGCATCAGCCAAAACACTGAGGGAAGGGATGCTGTTCGTGGTTGCTCTGGTGAACAACACGTTTTGTGACGCCCGTGAGGTCCTGTTCTCTGCCACGGTGTGGCAGTGACCGAGAGACTTCAGTGGCAAGACCCTGCTTACACCTTTCCCCCCTCCCTGCATGGCAGAGGCCACTGGGAATGGGAAGGGCCTTGCAACCAGAAACCACGCAAGGTCAGATGAGTGCAGCTCATCTGCACTCAGATGAGTCAGATGAGTGTGCAGCTCCGAGGCGAGGGCTTGTTTATCAGCACAGGAATTTCTCAGTGACCAGAATAAATACCCCTGACAGAGCGCTTGGCCACACCAGTGATTTCTAGTGCTCACAACCTGCCCCCTGCACAGAAACGCACAGGCGGGTACTGCTGAGTATTGGGACCTCTTCTCTCTCACCCCCAGCAGCTTCCAAGCTCCAGCCCAAGCCCTGGGCACTGCAGAAAGGGCAGGAAGCAAAGTCCTACCTGGTTTGGACAGCGGCATGACGCGGGGGAAATGGCGCCGGGATGGCCTCAGCGGGCTGCAGAGAGAACAGGCTCGGATAAGATGATCCACACAAAAAAAGGGCAAAGGAGGCCCAAATTCAGCTAGCTGCACCTACATCTTGAGGCTACCCAGTCCTTCTAGCTGCACCCACTTTCTCAGCTCCAGGAACCCAGAGGTGCCCTCAGCGCTGGCATCTCACCCAGGGCCCACAAAACCCTTGGGCTGTGACAGGTCCCCGCCCCAGGCCCCCACCCAGGGCTCCTGAGGTACTACCTAGAGAGAGGAAAAGAAGTCCCCCAACACACCAGGACACACTCACCTCAGGACGTCCTTGCAGAGAGGCGGGAAGGGATGCTGCTGATAGTGTCCAAAGACTTCAAATACAATTGGTTGGCTCTTGATATATTCAATGAAAGACTTGGTCACCTCTACGGCAATCTGAGAGAGAGAGCATGCAGCAGTGCTGTTTAGTCTAGAAAGGGCTGCAGGTAGGAACAGCAGCCACGCAGTAATACGCAGGCAGGAGGATCACAGCCTGCTCTGTTCCTTGCACTGCCACTGATCTCCTTCCCTCGCGGCCCCCACACTGTGACGCTCTCTCCACCAAGACCACTGCTATGAAATTCTAGCTGCAGGGTGCTGTTGTAATGCTGTATGTACATGAAGCCTCTCAGCTACAGCCCAGGGGAGGGCTTTTTCCCCCTCAAGGCTCTGTGGCCTTTTTGGTTGGAGGATGAAGTATTTGCACGCTTGGTTACGAGGCCAAGGGCTCTCCGGAGCAGAATGAATAGTCTAGGCTAGTAGCTCCTTCTAGAGGCAGCAAGCACCTACCAAAGCAAGGAGCCATTTTACGTGGTATCCCTGAAGAAAGCCTGAGGGAGCCTTCCCCCGCTTTTCCCACACAGAAATCAACAGGAAGACTCCAGGATTTGGAGTCAACTGCTCTACATCTTGGGGACAAAGCAGTGACTTTTGATCTTTCTCACTGCAGCTGCCTTGTCTAAGGTTGAGATTTCTGAGCTGACTGAGACAAAATGGTTGTTAAGAGCAGAATGCAGGCATCAAGGAGATAAGCTAGAAGGAATATTTTCCACGGGGGAAAAGATCCCAGGAGACTCTCTCTGTGCAAGGCAGAAGGGTCTACGACAGGCAGGGAGAACAGCTTGTCCTGCCACCCCTGCTAAAGTCCCCAGACTTTTAACTGTTGTCAGTAATTGTTCAAGGGTGACAGAAGTGACGACCCATCAAACCATGTCCTGGGCATCACCTGGTACATTCCCCAAGACATCTTTCTTGATAGCACAGCAAGGATAACATCTCCCTTATGGCTGAGAGGGGGAGCTTCCAAGCTAGCAGCCCCAGAGGTGGATTCAATGCTCTGCAAAGACCCCAGCTATCGTGGAGTAGAGGAAATGCCAAGCAGGGAGTGATACTAACGTTCTGGACGTGGTAGAAACCCAGAGGCGGCCCTCGCCCTGTGTTCTTCAAGGGTTCTGTTGAAAAGGCCTCATCATGGCGATGGATGAAGCTGCAAAGGAAAGTAAAGTTGTTAAGCGGCAGTACAACAGAGGTTGGATGTAATGAAACAAGGAGCGGAGGGGGAAGACAGGAACCAGGAGAATGGGCCATTCCCTCTTGGGGGCTGGATTTTATAACCTAGGCTAGATTGCTACAGAAAACCACCACATACTGATCTGCAGCCCACCAGAGCCTATGAAAGACACTCACTGGCTTTCAGCAGTGACTGAACAAGGTCCCAAACAAACAAAAAGGCCTGACACCTCTCAGTTTTATGTCCCCTCCTTGAAAGCTCTGGACCAGAATTAAGGATGGGGAGCAGAGACAAGCGGGACGTATGCTCTCAACACTGTCCCTGCTAAGCCTGTCCAGGGATTCACAAATAGGGCCAGGAGCAGCAAGGCTGGGACTCCCTGACATCTGCCTATGCCTCTTCCTGGGGCAACCAGATGAGGCGAAGGCCTGAGCATGGAGGGAGACCAAGGGCCGGGGCAGGTACTGCAGTCTCACTTGAACTGGCAAAAGATATCCGCGTATTCTGCTGAGATGCTGGAGGCTTGGAGGACAGTGACTCTGAAAGTGAAAATGCTGCCCAGCTTCAGGTGATCCAGAGCCGCTTCCAGAGGCCCGTCCATTGTAGACTTCTCTGGACTATCCAAGAGAAGGTCCTCTGGAGTCACTGTGGGGAGAGGACAGTCATCAGCGGAAAACACTGTCCTCCTGGCATCTGCAAACAGCCCCCCCATCTGCTGGATATGGGCTGGTGGGGACCCGGGCTTTTAGCACTTAGATGACAAAGATCTGGTGAGTGCCATGTGCTTGCTGCTGGGTCCAGCACTGCTCGCTGTGCGCTCTGCACCACCCCATCCCCCCTCCTGGCTGGTGATGCTTGCTCACCTGCGCATGTGTTGTTGTTGACTTCGTCTGCAGAGGGGCCCATGTCACTGATCTGCCCCTGTCCTTCGACAATTCGCAGCTCCTCCTGGGAGGTTCCTGAGCGAGACATTCCCACTGGGGGGCAGGACTCGGACTGAAACTGCAAGATGTCCACAGAGAAATGGGATTTAGAGGCACTGGTGGTCCCAAAGGTGACCCTGCTGGGTCTGTGGTCCTTGGGGGGCTCCCCGCTACCAGCATAAGTACTTGAGCAGAGACACAGCCTACAGTAACAGCTCCAGCTCCTCTCTCCTGCCCCAGAGCAACCCCCATGAGGTAAGGCACCTTGGTCAACACTGTGTCACAACCAGGTCTGTACTTGCTGGAAGTCATCAGAAAGCAGGATGAACTGAGCAGCAGCCTACCTCCCACCCCCCCGACACGAGCAGGGAACAGGGCCGCGAACATCAGTGGGGATGGTGGGTCCTGGAGACAGAGTGGGGGCTGCATGGGATGGATAGTAGCAGGAAAAGGTGTATTGGGAAGACAATCCCTTCAAACCACAGCTGGTGCAGTGTGTTACATGCACCTCTCCAGCTGGATCACATCCACTGCTTGAGGGCATCGTGATCGGCTGAGCAACTGCAGGGGCCTGCAATCAAAGTCCTCCAACCTCTCTGGACATGCACAGAAAGCCACATTCCCTGGATGGGCATCTCAGCCGTACCTTTTCAAAGTGCTGGTCATCAAAGGATATTTTCGCTGTCCCTGACTGCCGCACTCCTGAACCATAATCTGGGGCTTCTTCATCCGCTGGAGGAAGACAGACAGCGAGACATTACCAGGAAGGCTGGAACCCCCCTCTCAGCATGGCATGTGAGCCAAGACAGCGTGCACGCCTGCTCCTACCTGAAATGGCCTGGACTGCCACGCGCAGGAAGCCTTTCACTTCACCCTTCTCGCTGACGATGGCGACGCGGTGGACCAGGGGCACAGGGTAGAGCAGGTTGCTGAGGTACACGAAGGCCCTGCCGGATGGAAGCAACACAAGAGAGGGGTCACTGCTCCCCACCCTGGGGTTTCCAGACACACATGGCAGGCCACCGGCAGCCGGGATCACAGGTCACCGCTCACATCACAACATGGTGCTGCAAAGCAAAACTAAAGAGAGGCAGCCAGGGCCAGCCGGAGAGGGGCAGGGAGCGGGGAGACTCAGCGTGCCGAGAGCGGGCTGATGGGAAAGCAGCACTACAACAAAGTCAGGCTTCTGTGCTTTTCACGATGAGGCAAACGTGGCAGCGCGGCATGAGGGCTAGCATACCTCTTAGTCTGTCATCTCTCCCGTGGGTGGGACAGCGTCGTGGGGAGGGGAGGGGGACGGGGACTGTGCTGGTGCCACATGGAAGCTAGGAAGAGGACCTTCTTTGCAGTGAAGAGCTGGAGGACTAGTACAGAAGGTGCTGTGAAACAACTTGGGGTCTGCTGCGGAGTCAAAGTGTGGGGGGAGAAAGGGGATGGGCAAGGCAAGACCAAGGTAGGTGAAGGCGGGGAAGGAGAGCGACAGGGGAGGGAGAGGCCGGCAGGAGCAAAGAAGAGAAGGAGACCAGAAGACAGAGGAAAGGGAAGGTCCTGGCTGGAGCCTGGAAGGGCCTGACCTCCCGGCTGTCTCCTGCGGCATGCAGGGACCTGCCTCCAGAGAGAAACCCTGCCGGGGCTCTCACACCCCGAGCTGCAGGTCTGCCTGCGGCCAGGCTCCAGGCACCAGTCAGCAGAGCTGGGGGCTGCCAACTACAACCCTAGCGAGCCTCCAAGAGGAGGAACCAGTTTTGGGCTGCCCCGCCATGTCTGGGGTCCCGTGGGACTGCATGGAGGCCACAGCACAGCCTGATGTCACTCGGCAAGGGCTGTACCACCAGCAGGTTCATGGAGCTTGGGCCTGGCCCTGTCTAGACCCCAGCAGCACCACAGCTCCCTGAAATGTCCTCACGTCAGCCCCTGAGTGGCTTGTGTGGCCCCTGAGGCAAAAATTTCCCCATCAATGTTAGTGGCACAGGATCTGCCCAAGACACAGCTCCTGAGAGGCAACACGGGTGGAGGAGCAGGCTGCCGTCCTGCCAGCTCTGCAGAGCACTGCCGTGCCATAGTACAACTGTCATGGAGCGGCGGTGGCTAGAGATAACTCTCACCCTGCACATAAGAGATGCTGGGTTACGTGGTTAGCAGCATCAGTAGCATGCCTGTGTCCCCCTTGTCCCGCCACATGGGTGACTTCAAGGCCTCACAATATCTGACGGGGCATCATCAGACCAGCATGCTGGTTTCTATGCTCGGCAACGAAGGGCCTGTGCAGACCCCGCCATCAGTGACTGCTACTGGCAGCTCAGGGCCTCCCCACAGCCTGCTGGCTGCTTCAGCCTTCACTATAGCACACAGGATGGCTGCCACAAAGGGGGAATCCATGTGCAAACCATGCACCTACTGGTATGAAAGTGTCAGTGGGTTTGGAGCGGGCTGCAGCTCTCTGGGATCTTGCCAAGGAGTCCAGATTGCAGTCAGATATGCAGCTGTGGGATGCTGAAACCACAGCTGCTGCCCACGAGGCTAACTAAAGCTGGATGGTGACAAGTGCGGCCACAGCTGCTGCTCTGTCTGTACTGGCACATTCAGTAAGGTGGAGACGGGCTCACGAGGTCACAGCACGCATTTCCCAGGCATGTTGCCTCCTCTTGCTGCCTTCCTCAAACTCGCAGCAAGCCTGGGTTAGCAGGTCTCTCCCCCACTGCCAGGCTCACTCTGGAAGTGGGGGAACATTTTCATCCTCTCTGCCTAAGAAGCAGCATTCAAAGGTCCTTTCAATGCCATGGTGACCATGATGCACCACGGCCTCAGCAGTGACCAGTCACCACTCAATATCTTCAGCAGCAAACGCCATGCAGAGATGCGGAAAGTGTCCTTGCCTGCAGCTCTGTGCCACCCAGCAAGCCAGCTGGCCCAGTTGTGCCACCCAAACAAGAGCACATGGGGTGCCCCATGTGCAGGACAGCAGCACACATCTGTGGGTGTCCAGAACTGTCTTGACATGCAGTGCTCTTGTATTTTAGGAGTTGGGATCACACTGGGATCTGCTAAGATATGCCTGCTTTAGGAGGCTTCCAAGAGATCAATGAGCATCTCTCAGTGGCTGGCTTTGTTGCTCCCAACTTCCTAACCTTGCAGACATCCTTGGAGACATCTGAATGGCAGAGCTCGGCAGCACTGCGATGAAACGGCATGCAAAAGCCCAGGAGGCTCTTGCAGGAAGGACATAACCTCGCACGCTCCGAGGCAGATTCCAGTGTGACCACCGACCTCAGCCTTGAAATCCAAAGGCTCTCCCTGTTCTTATAACTGAGACCGATCTCAAACAGCAGTTTGAGGCTTTTTCCACCCAAAGTAATTTCAGAGGAATCAAGTCAAAGCAAATGCAATCCCCCAACAACTATCTCATGCAGGACAGTCCTGCCAGGATTGCTCTGGGAAGCCCAGGGCAGCCTCCCCTCCAGGCAGGGAATGCGCTCCCACAGCAGCCCCAAGGCAGCCCAACCTTTGCCAGTGCTGGGGGTCAAATGGACGCTTCCCATTTCCCTATGGGCAAAAAGCAAGCCACAGGCCTCTGCTCTGGCCCTGCTCAGGGGGAGGCAGGTGGAGCTTTCAGGCAACCTCCGTTGCCCCGTCTCTGCTCAAAGGCTACCAGTGACAAGTGGCTGAACCATGCCACGAGGTGCCTGGCTGAGAAGGCTTTACCACAGGGCAGCGTGCGTGTACATGGGTTTGCAAGAACCGGCAGGGGATTTCTCACAAGTGAGAGGATTTGGGAACACCTGCCTGTTAAAAGTTTCCTTTGTCGTTGTGTGAAACCACGGGGCAGCTCAACCTGAAGCACACTGAGACCTGGAAGGTCAAGGAGGGAGGAAAAAGGGGAAAGGCGAGAGGGAGGAAAGAAGGGAGGAGAGGGACAAGTGTGTCACTAAAGGAAGGAGGCAGGGACACTAACCACAAGATTGGTGAGGTGCAAAGATGGCATGCTCAGACCAAAGAAAAGCCTTTCCAAAGGAAGACAAAAGTGAAATAACCCCAATTTTCGCTAAAGCTTTGGAGAGAGAGAGCCAGCAGCTAAAAAAACTAAAAAACTAAAAAAATTAAAGAAAGAAATTAAAAAAAAAAATCAAAGACAAGGATCCAATCATAAACCAATCAAAGCACACTTCACGAGAAATGTGATCGGCACAGCTGCTGCGCGGGGAGCCAAATCCAGGTCAGACTCAAAAGAATTCAGAAGACTCCAAAGGGAAGACCTCCTGGGAACATCCCCCCTGCAGGGAGGGGGATCCACTGCATCAGAGGCTTGTTTGGCGGTTTGGTTTGTTTGTTTTTAAGATGCCCCCAAGAGGAAAAAAAAAAAGGAAAGAAAAAAGAAAAAGAAAAAAAAAGGTGGAAGAACCCAGCTCTTTCGGTCTGAGGCTGCAAGACTCTTATCCCATCTCCCTCTCTCCCTACATTGTTCCCTTCTGCTCCCCATCTCGCTCCCGCTACCCAGCTCCTAGTTGTCAGAGGAGGAAGGCAGAGCCTGGGTTTAACACGCTGAAGAAGAGCCTCAGATTCACCATGCTGGGGAACACAGTGCTTTTCACCTTGGTGTGGAGGGGCTGCTTCACAGCAGCCCTTACATGAACCTCTTTGGCTTCTGGAGCGAAGGCTTGTGGACCTGCCCTGGGCACAGGTCCCATCTTCCCGACAGGAAAATATCCGAAGCAAAGCTAAGGGAGCCAGCGTCACCCCTGGCCATTTCAGGAAGGCCTTTTTGGGAAGGGCAGATTGTGACTGACATTTTCAAGGTGCGGCTGGCGTTGTGGTGTCTGGAGGGTTTCTCCAAGCCAAGACTGAACCAGTCTGGCAGTTTCCTAACAAAAGGAAAGAGAAATAAAAGCTCTTTTCCTTCTCTGGTGGTGAGGAGAAGCTGGAGTCCTGCAGCTTCGGTCACCCCACATGAATTCCCCGAATGGCTCTTGTGCTGGCTGCTGCAAGACCACAGGGAAACCGTTCCTATCCAAATGCTGGACACCAGCAGCCCTAGATTTTCATTTGCGCCCCATGGCTTTTCCTTGAGCCACTTGGAGAAAACCTCACCCTTCTCATCCCTGGAGGCTTGTGCTGGCTGACTGATGTAGCCCAGTTTCAGATCCCTTCCTCACCCGTAGCAGGGCTCTCCCTTCCTTGCACACCACTGCTCTCTGCACTGCCTAACACCACTCCTTGCTGCGCTTGGACTGCCTCCCCTTGTCAACTACCGTGTCAGCGGGACATATTGTCTCCAAGTGCACCACAGCAGAAAGTCCCTCACCTGGATCTCGTGACACCACCACCATGATTAACGTGTGAACGCGTGTACTCCCAGCCCCTCCCTGCAAGAGCTGGCAGGAGGTCGCCCTTATTCAGATGGATATTTCCTCGGAAGTCTCCCAAACCGAGACCCTAACACAGGCCCCGAAGCCAGGGGACTTCTCCAGCTCGTTGGGTGCCAAGGACATGGGAGGCCTCCTGTCTTCGCAAGGCCGCCCACCCGCTACAGGCTGCTCTCCCGATGCCCCGGAGGCTGTGGGATCTGCCAAAAGGGCCTTCTGCAGACCCTGCTGGGTTTGCACAGCCTCCCTTCCTTCGTGGTCCCCCTACAACTGCCTCCCTTGCCACCATGCTTGTCAAAGCCCTACCTCGCTGGCCATCTCGCAGCCCCTCATGTCGCCCTGGTCTCCGAGGCTCTCCCGGCTGGCCGGCCACCCCCTGCGCCTACGGGACGCACGCCCTCGACGTGGGAATCGTGTCAGAAAGCAGTTCCCTCATGCGAAAGAGCTAGTTCCTTCCCAGCATGCTCTCCTAAAACCTCACCAACCTTCCTACTAAACTGAACAGGGGGGAGCGGTCGTAAAATGGATCCCGGCCATCACACAGCGGGCACTCCGGAAAGATGTCTTCCTCCAGGTCCTCCGCCTCCTCCTCCTCCTCCTGCCCCTCGTGCTGCTCGTCAGCAGGCTCGGTGATGTCGGAGTCGGGGTTCGAGAAGGTGGGGGAGGGGGTGAGATCAGCCATGCGCTCGCTCATGCATGTGTTGAAAAGAGGAGAGCTGTTGCAGCCAGAGATATCTGAACTAAGGTTAGTACAACAAGATAGAAGACAGGTTAACACCAGCTGTTCCAAACAGAGAGAGCAAGAATAGGAATTTCGCTTTGCTTTTTTTCCTTTTTTTCCTTTTTTTTTCCTTTTTTTTTGTTTCCGCTTAAACCAAGGGACGCTGGGAAATAAAGACCTGCCCGTCCAGTGCGTCTTAAAAGGAAGCCACCAATGGCCGTCGGCTATATGGCGTGGAAAAAAGAACAACCAAACAAACTGGTGCGAACGGTAGGGATTCCCAACGCTGGCTTTGCAGGAGACACAGCAAAGCGGGGACGGAGCGTTAGACACAAGGCTCAGTGACGCCCCCAGCATCGAAGGGAATCTCTCCACTGGTGCTGCGTGGCACGGGGTGACACCTCCACGACACACACGTTTGGTCGGGTTCTGCGGGTCAGCGCCCTGCTCCCCCTGCCCGCCTGGGTAGACCCTTCTTTGGGGCTGCCTTCCCTAGCCGCTGGCACCGCACCCTTCCAACCGGTGTGTGGGAAGCACATGGAGACGCATGGCACGTACCGTACAGTATACAAACAGATGCTCAGACAAGAACGCCTACGTGTGCGCACATACAAACACACGTCCGCGGATGTGGAGGTCACGACAGCAAGGGTTCTCAACCTGCCCCCCACCAGCAGCCCTTCTGCAGCCCCCCCGGGCCTGTGGCCCTAGCAGCGGTCCTTCCCCTCTCCTGCACTGCAGATAGGGGAAGGGTAGGACAGCCGGGGCCCCCCACCTCCCGCCAGTGGCAGGTTGAGAGCCCATGCCTTGTGGCACAGCTTTACAGAAGGCAACAGGAAGATTACCAGCGGTCCCATCAGGGTCCCAGCAGTGGATGCAGAGGAGAGTCAATGCTGGCAAGAGGCGCTCTGCACCATGGACTCACTCGGTGCAGGGGGTAAATGCTTTCTCCCTTAGCAGCTGCTGCCCCACAGCGCTGCCCAGGGGAGAAGAACATCCTCTGCACCGTGAAGCCAGTTGCGTTTCCTCCTGCACAGGTCTATTTGGATCCGAGATGCATTTAGAAGGAGCCAAAGCACTCACCTGCCAACCAGCCTGAACCAAGGGAAGCGGTCGTAGAAAGGATCTCCACCAGTCACTACATTGTCACAGTCCTCGATGACGCTAGAAGGCACTTCTGCTGCACGGTCATACATTTCACGCATCAGGTCGAGGCGCTGCCTGCAGGCGGAGAGGAACACAGCAGGCAGTTGTAAGGAAATGGCCAGCCTCAGCCCTCCTGGAGCAAGCTGGCCCAGCGCAGGCATCTCTCACCCTACTGTTGTCCCAAAGGCACAACGCTACCTGAGCTTTTCCAGGGTCCAGTAATGCGTTGCTCCGTTCTTCTGGTCCTGCACCTCTACGGCCACAATGGTACGGGGGAATGGCCGCTTCTCCCGGTCCTTGGCAGCGTTAGGAGGCAGGAGGTCAGGAGGGAGAGGTGAATACAGTGTGTCTGTGAGGAGCACAAACTGGAACTGAACCTGGAAATGGGCACACAGAGAAAGCAATCCACTCATGAGAGACCTGAGGACAATGGGCTCCACGCAGTACCTTCAGCCTGGGAGATGAGTCTTGCGCGCCTTGTGAAAACCCTGCATTGCGAACACAGGGAGCAATCCCCTCCTCAGGCGGGGGGGGCACTGATTTCCCCAAGAAATTCCTGACCGTACACACTCAGTCTGCCTTGTGTTCTCAGCTGCAGGTGTTATCTGTCATACAGAAGTTCTAAGAACAGACTTACAGCTAACAGGGAAAGATTATGCACCATTTCTTGTAATAGCAGAACTAAAAATGACCCTTAGCTGGTTGTAAACAAGCATGAGGAGATGCTTTGCAGTCCACTGAGGAGGTAAGCTTGCCCAGCTATATAGCATACACCAAAAACTTACACGCTTTCAAAAGGCAGGTGCATAAATTCATGCAAAAACAGTTCACCAAAGGTTAAACACAAAAATTCTGCGCCTGGGTGAGGAATTCCCTCAAGTCACTGGAGGCTGGGGAAGTCTACCAGAGAAGTGTCACAGTCTGCCTGTGCTATTCTCATCCCTCCCCCGGCACTTCTCTGGGCCTCTGTCTGGTTCAACTACTGGGTCAAACAGACCCATATTCTCACCGAGGCTGGTCATTCTTCTCTTGTGTTTTCCAGTCTTTGAGAATGATCCAGCACTGATTTCCCTCAAAGATTCACTGGTGTGGGGACACATGCACACTCACGATGGAGATATGCTATGAGTGACCTGCCACAGATCTGTGCCATTAGCTCTCTGAAAATGCATGCTTAGCCTTCCTTGCTCAGTCCACATGGGAAAGTGGAGGTGCTAGATTTCCTTCAAAAAAGGGGAATGAACATGCAGTGACATACTTTGGTGGTGAAACCCAGAAATTCTGGCCTGTGACACCAGACACTTACTTTTTTCTTTAACTCCACACTGATAGCGTTGGCTTCTTTTAGGAAAATGGCATTGCCCCAAAGCAGGTCACGGAGAGAGGTGAACTGGTACCACTTCCATTTCCTGAAGGCCCAGAGAGCTAGCTCAAACTCCCGCTCAGTCCACTGCACTGTAGAGACACAGGAGACAGTCACTCGCTGCACGGCACCATACGCACACCCAGCCCCACCTGCCACAGCAAGAAGGGGTGACATTGGTGCAGAAGCACATAAGGGATTACAGTTTGCTCTTCTCACTCCTACAAAAACATCAAGACCTACTAGAGTGAAAGGTGCCACAGGAATACCACAAAATCACCTTTTCCCCTACACCACTGCAAACCACAACCTCTGTCGGAAGACAAAGGATGCAGGAAACAGGATGGGTTATTCTGGGTGAAACAACACTGCCAGTTCTTAGATGTCTCCTGAAGAGAGTGTGGTAACTGAACACAATATTACTACAGATTTTTTAAACTTCTGGGGCCATCCTGTCACTAAAATTGAGGCCCCTCTGCTCAAGGTGTAAGTGGAATTTTTGTCAGCTTCATGGTCCCTCAACAAATTCCAGTGAGGTTTAATAGGGCTTCTGAGCTAACGAGAATCAAGCTGTGGGCTATTGTAAAAAATATTGCTGTGTTCATCCTCAAGGGTGAATTTCTAATCTGCTGCCCTTTGAGAAACTGAACAAAGAATTAACAGACCGGGGAAAATGATTCACAAAAAATCCTCTCCACTATTTTCTGCCAACCCCCAGAGGTGTTCTGCAGGCAGACCTTGCATTTATGAGTTTGGTTTTTTTTGGTCTTCATTCTAAAATCCTTCTTATCCATCCTTAAGCTGTTTTTTATTAACTCTTCCTCAAAAGGGTTGACAGGATGCTGAGACCACACCAGCTCTCCTCCCGCTCCAAATACATCTACATGCAATATCACTTCCCAAAACACAACACATCTGGACTTGCCCTCTCCCATCTCCCCCACTGTATTTCATCTCTCCTTTCTCACTCAACACTCACCTTCATCTTCAGGTTCTTCTTCTTCCTCGTTGGCCTCAGGATAATACCTAGAGTCCATTTGCTTCTGTAAAGCTTCTAGTTTACTCTCATAGTCCTGGGGGAAGCAGGAAGAAGAATGACGAAACCACAAAGCATGATTTTCCTTGATGCTGACCATCCTTCTGTCTGCATCACATCTTGCTTCCTTCCCTCCCTGTAGAAATCCACCCTCCTCCCTCCTTCAGATTCATGATTATGGACAGCTCCAAGAATTACAGATTCGCACCTCAGGTCTCCAGACCACCTTTGCTTTTTGGGAAACGCAGAGCCACCCCACACAAACATCTTTGGTGACCCCAACCCAGCCAGGACCCGGCAGTGTTTGGGCACCTGAGAAAGAGCCAGGTCTGGCCACCTACCAGCCTCTGCTGCTCAAGAAGGTAATTTGCCTCTTCCCTCTCCCTCCGGTATTGGTCCTCCAGTTCTTGAAGCCTGGGAGGAATGGGGAAGAATAGCATGATAAACCTGCATATGGATATCTCACTCCTGGTGGCTGTCTCCTCTCCTGTTCTCCTCCCACCACTGTTCCCCATCTCCTCCGCAGCTCCTCACCTCTGCTCCATCTCCTGCTTCATGTCGATGCCCTGTTTCTCCAGCAGCTCTCTTTGTGCAAAGGCCCAGTCCACAGGCTCCGCGGGGGTCTCTGCGCATGGGGTCCGCTCCCGCTCTTGTCGGGCCTGTTCAGGGTGATTGAACCGGAACACGTGGCTCTTCCCCATGATGATGCGGTTTCCTGAGGGGGTGCACAGGCAGGGGGAAAAAGGGCTCAGATTTAACCAAGGAGGAGTCTAGAACGCATGGGAAGACCCACTGAACTGCAGGAGCCTTAGGGAGGGATAACAGGTTACAGCAGCTGCTCTCTCATGCTTGCCCCTTGCTGGCCAGGCCCCAGGTACCCATGGCAGGCCAGGCCTCCTCAGGTGCAGGTCTTACCTGACCGCAGGATGCTGGGCTCTGTCACTTTTTTGCCATTCACGTAGGTGTCAGCGCCTTCACAAGGCTCTAAGGTCACTATTACTGCAGGGACAGCAAAAAAGGGAGAGAAAGGGAGTGCAAATAAGGCACAAGCGGAGAGGCACCCTTGGTCTCCCGGAGCATGAGGAAGGCCAATGTTTCTGTGGCCTAGGAAAAGAAGGGCTACCCTGGATAGTACCCCCTCCGTGGAGCACAGGGACACTGGGGTACCCACAGGGAGCACCCAAACCTGGGCAATGAACAAGGATCGCAACAGAGCTCAGCCAGTCTCATGTTAGTCAGAGTAGCCCAAGGACTAAGAGCAGGCAGCCATTAGACATGAAAGGGGATCAGAGTCCACATCCTGTATCTCCAGCCTTCCCAGCCTCATCTCACAAGGGATTTTCACCTCCAGGTTCCTGCCAGCACCCAGGTTTGGGGGGTGGGTTCTGTACAATGTCTTGCGTGGGGTAATTGTGTACAGTCTGTTCTTTCTTCCTGCCCCAACCTCCCTCCAGTCATCTTCCCTCCTCCCTGGCTTGCCTCACCAAGCAGCACATGCCACTTTTCTTGTCCCTTGCACAAGCTTCTCTCCCAGCTAGACAATGGTCATAGTTTGCCCAGGAGGGAAGCAGGCCTGGAGAGGTCATGGCCCATCCAAGAAAGCTATGCTAGTCTGAAGGAGGCAGGACCCCTACCAGCCCAGAGTGGAACCAACACGGCCCATGGGTAGGTACTGGCACACAATGGGGACACTCAGAGGGACTAGGGTTTGGGAGGAACCCAGGGAAGCGGAGCCCCTCCGAAGGGTGTACCTTCACCACCAGTCTTTGTGTCGCTGCGGAAAAGGCAATGCTCTTCTTTAATGAAGTGTCCGCTGAGAACAATGTCCTGTCTCTTCTCTGCATCTTCCCGGCCAACCCTGCCAGAGGAAATACAGCTCAAGCTGGCTCTCTACGCTTCCTCTCTACCCCTTTTTGGGGGCTCCACACAAAAATATCCTTTGGACTGACCTGAACAGTCCTCAGTGCACAGCCAGACCGATATCCCTAATAAGCCATGGAAATGCACATTTTTTCCCATGCAGCAATGTCACTTTGGTGATGCCCAGAGAACTCTGTGCCCAGCCCAGAGGCAAGAGGGCAGGCTATCTGCCTGATACCCATGCACATACCCTTGCGGCCTACCTAGGGCACATGGATGGTGACAAGAACAGCCTAGTGCATGCAGAGCGGGAATGCACTGCTGCGCCTAGAAGGCAAGCCAGGGCCTGAGATACGGGCTATTGGTCCTCACCTTGTTATCCCGTCCTTGATATAGTAGAGAAGGCACTCGGACATGAGGGGGTCCTCATTCAGGTTCACCAAGTGGGGCGTCTGGGAGAGATAAAGAAAAAGTCACCCTTGTCTGCTCTGAGGGACACTCCTGAGGGATGTGTAACTTAGCTGCACCTCAGGCCGCCTCCCTGCGAGGAAAGAGGCTCTCCCACTCCTCTATCGCTCAACAACAAAATGCCCCAGGCAGGTACTCTTCTAAGTGATTGCAGAGAATCAGGCACTGGCCCCAACAGGGCTGAGCTTTCCACAGGGAGCTGCCTGAGCGAGTGTGGAGCTGCAGTCCCACGGACAGGGAGGACCGCCAGGACCGCCAAGCTCGGGCAGCCTGCTGGGAGAGGCTGGCTGCCGAATGCCCTGCCGCAGAGCTCCTGCACCCAGCCTCGATGATCAGCAGGCAGGGTAAGGCCTCGTATGCTCTTCCATGCAAGGATTAAGGGTTACACCATCCACCACCCCCCTCAAAAGAGCCAAGGCTTGGACAGTAGAAATCAGAGATCCTCAGCCTCGCGGCAGTTCAGAGTGACACAGTCCTCAGTTGGGTTGTTAACTCCTTGGCCCCTGCCTCTTAGCCCAAGGGCTCCACAAGCATGAGAAGACCAGTCCCAAAGCCTCTCTCTGATGAGCACCACAGCACAGGCTCTGCAGCAACGGTGCCGGTTCAGCCCTGCACAGAGCAGGACTCCCTCTGCTCACTGCCACTTATAAACCAACCCCGCGGTTGCTGCTTCTGGTCTAACCCGGCCAGAGCAAGGGGAGAGCTGTTGCTTTGTACACCAGGTCTCTGCACAAGTGCTCCTAAAACAAGGGCTTTACTTCAAGCTCCGCATCTTCACATGACTCCTTGTTTTTCTCCTCAAAAGGCTACGCTCCGGGCAGCTTTCCCCAGGCACTGGTGCCTACCACCGGCTGCTTTGGAAAACTATCACATATGTATATTCAGGTTGTAAACAGGCCCGATACAGAGCTAAACACTTCACAAGAGGAGTCCTTGAACAGATATGGCTTAGTGTCTCTTGGGCCTCCTGCCAAGGATCAGGGGGAGCCTGTTAGCTCCTGATGATACAAGGACAGATGAAGCGCTCAAAGGAACAGGTCCCAGTCTGGAGGTTCATCCAAAGCCTGTGGCAGAGTGGAGATCTGAACCTGTTTCCCAAGGATGAGTTTCTTCCTAGCCTCTTTCCTATCAGTTCCCACCCAACATTTTCTTCCCCATGAGCCACAAACCACTCTGTTTCTGATGACAGGAGCATTTCTTCCATGACCACAGACCTCTGCACCTGGTGCTAGCTTATCTAATCCCATTGCAACTTCAGTCAGTAGGCAAAGTCAAGAGGGCACTGGCAAGGTAAGGCTCTGAGTTTCCCAGAAATAAGAAGAGACACTGTAAGAAATGTCTTATCAGGCTGTTGACACAAAGCATGCAGAGATTTCCCCTTCAGAAAAGGGAGCTGAGCCCTGACCGATCCAAGAGATTCACTCCAAACAGTGCAGGAGAGCTGGAGATCAGGAGGAAACACAGGCTCTTCTCCACAGTAGCTGGAAGGAAGAAGCTGGCCATAACATTTAACATCAGGCCTCTCTGAGCAGACATGTAGCCCCTGGGCCTGAGGGAGAAGCTCTGAAACTCTTCAGCTTGCAGTTTATCTCTGGATTTGCAAGGTTTGCTAGTAGAAGGCAAATGATTTAACTTCCCCTGAGCTCCTCAGGGAAATCATTACACCAGGGATGACATTTAGCAGGGCAACAATGCCCCTGTGTTTTGCTCTCAATCAAAACGGGTTTTACAAGCTTTCAATGCTAATCTTTCTTGCCAGCAGCTGGAGAATTCAGAGCAGTTTCCACCCACTAGATAGCTGAAGAGCAAGTAGGCACCAAGATCACCACAGCAACGCCATCCTCCAAGACCAACCTGCTTAGGGGAATAAACCCCCACGCTTTCTACATAAACATCTGGGGACCTAATGGGCAGTGGCTGAGACAGAAACAAAAAATGAAGAAGAAAGGATGTAAAAACTGTCGTAATAGCCATGCTGGGACACGCATGAGGAAGATCCCCAAAGGTTCACCACTGGGTGTGCATGTGGAGGCTGGGAGCGGACCCTGCTCTCCTTGGCTCCACACGCTCTCAGCAGGGCTGCAAGGGCATGCACCTATTAAGATGTCTGGCCAGGCCAAGCACCGACCAGTCCAACCAGCGTCGGGGGCAGAGGCTGACAGGGCCGCTCTCTGCCTTGCCTTCAGCGCGTGGGGTGCTCCATTCCAACAAGGTGGGAGAGCCGTGTGAGCGTACCCTGATCCTACCAACACATGCCAACACCTCTGCAGCCTGCGCAGCGCATGAGGTGAATCTGCAGGGTTCACAAGATTGGAGCTATAAACTGGAAGTTATTACTGCAATGATTGCACAGCCGAGCGATTGACAATAACGGGCTGTAACTAGCACTTGGCAGAGTCCACTGGCACAGAAACTATCTGGGGCATGGCCAGTATTTGCTTAGAAAATACTCTCTGGGAGACTACAAGCCGCAACAGTATTTATTATTCCTACTACACCTACATTTCTTAGCAAGGATTCTTTGTTTCAGGGGCAGCCTGGGTGACAGACAGAAATTTCAAATACCCAAAAGTACAGGGTTTTAATAGCTGACATTGAAATCCCAACAGAATAATCCTTAGTGGAGCCCACTAGGGTTATCTGAACGGCAATAACGTCCACTGTGGTAGGGATGTGGGACTGGGACAGAAAATTTAGCCATCTGTTTCTATCAAAACAACCAGTGATGAAAACACCAAACCAGTTTGATATTGAAAGTGTCCCTTATACATTTCAGAGTGAACAAGCCATTGTAACAAAAGGTCAGTTCACACTTCTGAGAGCTAATCCAAAATGATTGGCTAGCAGGGACATGGTAGGTTTGATGGGTTACACACTGAGCCATGAGGACGGACACCAGCCCTTGATTCGCTGTGAGGAAGAGGTTAAGAGGTTATCCTACCTTTTTAGGAGAGAAAACGCCCAAGGTGCCTCCGTCCTCCCTCATGGCCACCCCCATTTCAGCCAGCAACGCTTCCCTGAAGGAGCAATGGAAAGAAGAGCCTGTCAAAGCCACGGGAGCCCAAAAAACCAGCCACGTGACCGTAAGTCGGAGGAGATCCAGCCTTTGCCTCGGAGGACAGCCCAGCTGGAGCACATGTAACACACAAATGGGCAGAGAGCAGGGTATCCCAGGCTGAAGGCAGCAGAAGCACATGACCCTGTGTGGTTTGAATACACCGAGTACAAGAGGCCTCTGCAGCACAGAGCCGTGTTTCTGCCCGAGCTCTCAGTGCGGGGGAACAGCCAAGGCAAGGCTTGAACCCACAGGTACTAATTCCAGACACACTGTCCCCCACACAGTCCTGGATCCAGGCTGCACTCTTCCCTGCCCAATTCACTTCCAACTGCCCCCAACGCACTGCTTCTCATTGCTATGGCAAATTGGCCTAGGATTAGACTATGTCTCTACAGGTAGAGGTCCATTTTCTAGTCCTGACTCAACTTGCAGCCATTTGGCTGTGCTCTCTTACGCCCCAAAGCAGGGTGGCCTCATTCGCACCACCTGGCCTGTGCTAAGCCCTGAACCACACTGGGGACAACGCTAGTTAACCTAGGACAGCACTGCAAGTGCTAGATGAGCAAGGGAACAGGATGCAGGCTCATGCTCTGGCCTGGGTTATTTTGCTCCTGAGGACACAGCCTGAAGGCTTGTTTCAGCTCTGTATGTGCCTCAAGAAGATTTCTCAGAGCAGACTGCGTCCCTAAAGGCTAATGTGGCTGGTATTGGGGTGCCTGGGAGGCACCCAGCCCCATCTCATTAACTGAACTGCTCCAAGGAAGCCACAGAAAAGGGGAGAACCCAGGGAAACCCAGCCCTGTCTCACCCACCTCTCCATCCGGATGGCTTCTGTCCTCCGCAGCTTCTCCTCCCAAGTCTCATTCAGCTCAGCAATGATCTTCTCCGTTTCCTGGTGAGCGCAGGGCACGGGTTAGCGTTTTGCAGAGGCCGCAGACAGTCGACCTGCACCCACTCTGCTAGGCTTTGCCCAGCAAACCCTGGTGGGAACTGTGGCCCCCTGCACCCACAAGAGACTGCAGCTCCTGAAGGTCGCACATTCAGTCTGGTTTAAATGGACTGCAGCTGTATTTCAGCCAATTCTGGCACTCATCCTGGTTTTTAAAGAGCAAGGCACAAACGCCACCCTCTCCAAACCTTCTTGTCAGACTGCTCCTGTGCGTTGCTGAGCTGGGAGCATTCATCCTGCAGCGGATGCTCAGCAGTTACCCTGCAGGGAGGCCCGCAGACTGGGCAGGACCCTAACTCGCCAAACCCTTTCCCTGTCCATGAGTCCGGAGAAGACACGATGTCCGCAGCACCATGCATCTGCTATGTTTGTCCACTCTAGAGCACCAGAGAGCGCCAAAGGTCCGAGCATCACTTCCCATGAGTACCCTTTAGAACAGGATCTTTTTAGCTTCACAGTACTGAAGTGATGAATAGAATAAGCAAAGACGGGATTTTCCAAGGGCTTTGTCTCTAGACAACTCCAATTTTAAGCTGCAGTGCCTTAAAGGGGATAGATTTTCTGAAAAATGCCCCCAACCTCCCCAGCCCCCAGTGCCTGAAAATCTCAGTGCCTGAGAGTCAAAGGACTCAGTGCTGAGCCTGGGAAAGCATCTTGGGAAACTTTGGCCTAGGATTAGAATTGCTGCTGAGCTTTGTAACAGCAGGAAAACGTCCAGAGGAAGATCTCTGGAAGCTCAGGATTTAAAGAGGTCCTTTCCTACATTTCCCCTCTGAACCAGGTTGGGAATCGGGCAGTTCAGTGCCACACAGATGCCAAGCGTACGCAACTGATCTCTGAAGTTTTGCTCTCTCTCTCCCCAGCCCTCTGCGCTGCATGGCATTTTCTGGGCTCTTACCTTGAGCCTTTCAATAGCCTCTTCGCTGCCCGGAGCGAACATGATGCGCTCGTGGAGGCTGGCGACAGAGGCAGCTCGGCTGGACAGGGCTGACAGGGAGGAAGAGGGGCTGATCCCGGCAATGGCATTGGTCACTGTGGAGAGATTGTCAGGGCGTTGACTCAGTTCAGCCACTCTAGGGTTACCATTATTGTTCTCAAAGTCGGACACATCTACGGGCAGGGAAGGAGAGGAACGGAGTGGGGAAAAGACACAAGGATAGGAAGAAGGAACAGAGAGAGAGAAAGAAAAAGATAGAGAAAAGAAAAGCTGTTGGGAAAAAAAAGTGGCCAGGTGTGGCAAGAAGAAAGCCAGGAATTAAAAGAAGAATGCACGCACATTGGCACAGCGGCACAGACCAGCAGCAGGGTGAGGGGCACTCACACCTTCCCCACCCCAGCCAGGCTGTCTACACTGAATCCCGGGCAACCAGCCCAAGCACTCAGCCCAGCAGGCAGCACCTGCAGCATCCGGAGGGTCACACATTCACACCCACCATGCTCACGGCTGGCTGCTCAGGGCAGGGCAGCAGCCTGAGGAACACGCAGGCTATTTTCAGAAGCAGCTACATGAACAGCCTTGGAGCAGCTTTTGAGCTCTTGGAGATCTTTTTTTCAAAAGTGGAGCAGTTGGATCTGTTCAGAGCCAAGCAAGGGAAGCACAGCAGCACGCCTGGAACAGGCAGCGACGCTTATCTGCCGGCACTTCCAGCCTGGGCCGGGGCCCTGAGCAGCGACAGGGGCAGCTGCAACTGAAACACGTGGCAAAGGGACACAGCTAGGTCACCAATGCGTCCTGGCCCAGGTGAACCCCAAGAGCTTGTCCCAGCTGTGGAAAGAGCTCCAGACCAGAGACCAGAGCCCTGTGTGATTTGCCTTGTGCTGCTGCCACAGCCTGGCATGGCAGGGAGCAGGCACAGAGATGGGCTCTGCCAGCTGTGGCCAGGGCTGGCCCTGTCGTTCGCCCCGGTATCAGAGATGCTCCTCTGGCCCAGAGAAGTTGCAGCGACAAAAAGGAGCCTGTCCCCAGCTCTGCATTTCATGTTGGAAGCAGGCAGGGTTTGGGTTAGTCAATGTAGGAGTGGGCAGAGTTAGTCAAAGCTCCCATTTCCAGAGGGCCTGAGCCCAGTGGTGCTCTGTGCCTCCAGAAAGCGGGTCAGGGCAGGCTGCAGGGTGGGCTGAGGTGGTTCTCGTGGGGCTCCAGCATGTGGAGGGACCATGGCTCATATCAGTCCCCAGCGCAGTTTCCCTGGAGCCCCTGGCACAGAACCACTCACTCTTACACCTCACTCATGCTCCCGCTGTCTCAGGGAGACTCCAGCACACTCAGAATAGAGCTTGCTCCTTTTTTCCCCCACTTCCTGCCTTTCTCGTGCTGCCTGAGTGACCAAACGACTGAGCAGAAAGAGGCCTTGGCTCCTGGCACACCAAATCCTGCTGTCCTGACCGCAGTGTAGCACACACGGGGCAGGGGGAACTTTTGCACAGCCACAGCTCAGCTTGTGGCAGTGGGGAACCAACTGCTCTGCCTTCACACTGTTCTCGGAAGGCGATTTTCCTAGCAGTAGATCCAACAGAGCTGAGGCTGAGCATCTCCCTGCAGGTAGCCCCACAGCCTGCAGATTCCTGCGCTTAGCTTTGCCTTCTCCTCCCACAACGCTGTCTGGTTACTGCATTGCAAAGCAACTCCTTCTTGCGCACCCTGAGTCCCATTTTCAGTCCTGTCTTTCCCTCCTGTTCCCACCTCAATTTCCCAGCCAGCCCACTGACATGCTGGTTATCCGCCCTCATCCCTCTAGAGTTGTGCCTTCTCCTGCACTGCCCCTGGAACAGCATAGGGAGCTCTAGCCTGGATCAGATGGGCCAGGTCCCCGTCTCCCTATCATGATCGTCGCAGCCTGGTTTCACACTGCCTGATTCATGTGGGGGCGACTCAGAATTCCTTATCGATGGGCCACGGCCAAACCTTACCACTTCTGGTGGGTCAGCACACACCTCTCCCTCAGCCAGCTTTTAATGGAGAGCACTGTCTCAGCCTACAGAGCGCTAGGCCGCAGCATTAGTCTCTGCAGACTACCAGCAGTGCGCAGTGCAGACCTCCTTTTAGGAGGTGCTATGGATCCACCGAGACAGTTGCACCGTTCCCTCTCTGCTTCACAAACAAGCATGGGAACCTGAACCCAACCACTTTGTCAAGTTTCCCCACAAACAAATTTGCCCTGTTCCTCTGCTGATCGCAGGGCAACCCTTGGCAGGATTGGTGCTGGGTTACTGAGATGTCTAATGCCACCTGCACTGTATCTTGCATGCCTGGCTCTGTTTTCACCCAGGAGCATGGCCAGTGCCTTCACAAGCAGAATCAGCAGCAGAGACCAGTCCCAGTGCCAGCAGAAGCAGCAAGAACAGCAGAAGCAAGAGGAAACATAGTTACAGCATGGAGGAAAGAGTCCTTTTGTGGACCAGCTTTGGTCCCCTGCATGTTAGAGGGCAGTGAATAGACCATTAAATTCTCACCTGCATGGGCTGCAAACCCTGGCTAAGGCCTGAGCACAGGACCCTTCTCCCTGGGCTTCCCCAGCATGGGGCTGCCATCCAGGGCTGTGTTCCCTGTGGGGCAGAGCTAGCAGGAAAGGGAGAAGCATGTGTGTCCCCCACATGCAACTCAGACCCCGAGAGATGTTGGACGGCCCTCTCACACCCCTGCACACTGACTTGCAGATTTAAGGCAACAATGCAGGGCCTTGTAGTAGGGAACGCTGGCCCAAAGCAGAAATGTTCCTGTGCTGGCCTGTCCCTCCGAGCCCAGGTGCTGTGAGCAAGGCACTAACGGAGGCTCTGCTGATGCCCCTTTCCCTGCTCTCTGAGGAACGCCAGCCTCATGTCTCCCTGAGAGCAAGCACATATCCAATAGCCAGGGCTGGCTATTGGAGCCCTTTCCCATGCTGCACTTATGTTCCTTGGCTATGCCTATGTCTCTCAAAAGCAGTGAAGCAACACAGAATACCAGTGATGGGGAATACACACATTTGGATCCTCCTGCAGCAGGGTTGGCTAAGAGAGAGAGGGGGCAGGGAGCAGGGAGAAAGACAAAGAAAACAGAACAAGAGTAGGTTCATCTCAGTAGGATATAAGACAATCTGAAAAGCACACGGAGGAGAGGCCACAGGTGCACTCAGCCCCAGGGATGACTTCCTGGCACCTTTGTGGGGCACAGTCACATGAGGGTGGAAGTGAAAGTGGAGGGGACAAGGCCTGCTGGGTGTAAAACAGGTCCTCTGCCTTATGGGAGCGGCAGAGGAGTTGCAAACATGTGTGTGGGGTTAGCTGGGGGCAGGAGGGTGGGGATCCCAGCCGGTGTGATGACGGTGGAGAGAAATGGCTACACCTCAGTGATGTGACATTACTACGTGGCAGGGTTGGCAGTGAGATGGCTGAACCACAGAGCAGGACGTGGGACAGCTCCGGGCATGGCCCCTTGGGGCTGGTGGGCAGGGAAACAGCAGCCCACCTCTGCTGAGAGCTGCTCCCAGAGAATACAGAGTGGTACGTACTGTCAATGATGTCCCCAAGACCCTGGGCATACAGCAGGTCACGCAGGCGTGCCACTTCATCCTTCAGCTCCCGGATGAGCTTGTTGTTCGGGTCCTCGTTGATGACGGCGTTGCATCGGATCTGCTTGGCACGGTCGGCATATCTAGAGACAGGGCACACCACTGAGTAACTGAGGGGAGGCTCCCCATGAGTCGTGCATGGCTGTGTCCAAAAGTGAGGCAGCAGGGCTGGCCAACGGGGCATGCAAACCCTCAGTTGCTGAGCATGCAGGAGTAACTCGGAGCCCACTCCAGTGAGGGGATCCTTCAGAAGCGCAGCCAATCAGCCAGGAGACACCTACGTGTAGCTAGGACCAACAGGGTGCAAAACCATGACTACTGTTTGGACAAACATCGCTAACAAACAGCCAGGACAATTCTTTGGCCCTCTTATATGAGGTGCTAATTGCACAAGGCTGGGTGCCCTCCTCGTGCCCGCCCCACTGAGGGGAAGGGATGCTGGAAGAACAAAGCAATGAGAAGAGCGAATGCGAGCACTTGGGTTTCAAACACATCCCCTGCTCTCACCCATTCAGGGCATGAGGGCAGCATCTTCATCCCAGAGCCTACCTTAAAGTGCTGAGAGTCTCGTCGTAGTTGATATCGGCAGGACTGAGAGCAGCAACCATCGCAGTCCTGGAGTTGCCCCCTGCCCAGAGAGATACAATTGCTTCAGGGAAACGCTGGTCACTGAGACAGCCACCACCCTCTGTTTCCCAGCTGAGCTTTCCACCAAGCCCTGCAGCCCTGCACAACCAACCCATCCGTGTCCTCACCCAGGTTCTCCCGGAGCAGCCAGGTCAGCACAGAGTCCCGGTATGGGATGAAATCTGTCTTCTTCTTCTTTTTGTTCTGAAGAGGAGAGAGTGGAAGGAGCGGTGATAAGGCTCCCTGCTCTCTTCAAAGGGAAGATCACAACCAGTGTGAGCCAAGCCCAGAGGCAGGGCTGCTGCCAGCCACGCCAGGCTGACAGCAAGCGGCTCTGTTCGTCAGGAGCAAATACCCTCAAAGGAGGATTGCCCTGCTCTACCACAGCGACCTTGGGCAACTCATTTCAGCTCTGTAACGCACTGCCTGGGCTGGGAGGTGTTTGATGCTGGGGAAAGGAGGCAGGGGGACAGACATGCGGAGTGGGCCGGGACATCTGCAAAGTGGTGAGGACATTAACTGGATCTGCCCAGCCCTCAGAAGAAAGTGTGACTTGGATCCAGTTGGAGTCTCATCTATAAAGGACTCCTTGCAAACCTCCTTGCTCTCCACCCCCTCCCATCTCTGCTAAAAGCCAAACCCACTGAGCCCTCTCTCAGCACGTACCTTATTTGGCCCTGAATCCTGCAAAGGAAGCAGAGAGACTGTTTACACTGTGTTGCAAGCAGAGGGGACCGGGGGAGGTAGGTAACAGTGGGCTGCTCCCCTCCCCTTCACTCAGCACAGCTCCCCTTTCCTAAATCAGAGTGGAGGACACTGGGACAGCACTCTGATCCGAGGGGTGCACTCCAGGCCCAGTGACACTGGCAGCGTGGGGCAGGATGGGACAAATCTGCCCATCCTACAGAGCTAGGTGCTCAGCACCAGGTACCCATGCCAACACAAGGTAAACAGATAAGCATGCAAGTAGGAAGAAGGGGATAAGAACACACACTTCTCCACCCGCACTTTATCGAGCAGCGCCTGTGAGTGAGGGCCTAGCTGAGAGCAGAGCCTTCCTTGCTCAGAGAACATACCATTTCAGCCAGAGCAGAGATGACTTTCCCCAGGGTGGTCAAGGACTTGTTGATGTTTGCTCCTTCCTGATGGAGAGAAGAAATGCCCACATCCTCAGGCTTTTTTACAGAGCACAAAAGCCCAGTACACCAGGAGGATGGGGATGTCCTGGTACAGGGTGGGGGAATGGTACAGGCCTTACTGGGTATCCAGCACCTCCTAACTGGGGCTCATGGACCCTGCTGGAACTGGCACTAGCCAGCTCTCAAACAAAACCCCAGTGAGGATTTTCACAGCCAGAACTGTAGTATGCAGGGAATCAGGTAAGGAAAGGACACAAGGTATCTGGGGGCAAGAGGGGGCTTGCACCAGCTCTGAGCTGCTCTCTCACCTTTAGTCTTGTGCCCTTTGCGCCAGTGGAGTCAGCTCGCTCACTCCCTGCCAGATCCACCAGGCTGATTTTGCTGACCTGTAACCAGAGACAAGGCTGTTAGCCACGGCAGGCACAGCAAGTACCCAGCCGGTTCCCTGACCACTGGGCAAACCTATCCCCAACAAAGTGCACCTTCAGCGCGCAACGTGGGAGGTGTTTCACTGCCCGCAGTGTCACGGACTCAAAGGAGGGAACAAACACATCACACAGCATGAAGCTACTCAGAAAGTAAAGGTGGACTTTGCAAGGTAATTGCTGCCACAGTTTGGCCAGAACCAGGGCTAACGTTCGGGCAAGCAGGGACGGCTCGCTCTCACCTTCTCAGTGGTGATGTCTGTCTCGGCGTCATGCCGTTTCTGAGTGAAGATGATGTTGAACACGGCATGGGAGCGACTGCTGGTTTCATTCATGTTGGTGGCAGCCACTGTGCTGTGGGGAGATGATGGCAAGAAGACATGACACTCTGCAGCATGTCAGGAGGCCAGAGCAGCTGATACTGGGGCCTGGACTAATTTCAGGACAGGCTACTTTGCAGAAGACAAATCTAGTGGCCACTGCAGACATGAGGGGACTCTGGTACCCAGGAGCGATCAGTCAAGGTAGCTCATGTCCTGCCTCTTTCCTTCGGTGGGGTGGAGGGGAACAGACCCTCTCCAGATCCCAGCTCCTTACAGAGACCTTGTATCAAGCTCCCCAACACCAGGGAAACCTTTCCACTGACTTCTGCAGGCTTTGGTCCATGTGCAAATGCCCAGACCTTCACCATTTGGTTCCAAGGGGCGTTGACAGCACTAAGGAGACAACGTGAAAATAAGACAGGGTCCCCACCTCTTGTACACCTTAGAATTTTGAATTGCCATCTCTGGAGCAGCCAGACTAGGAGGCCAGGCAAAAGGTAATGGTGTGGCCTGGGTGTGGAGGAACCAAGTCCTTCTAAACTTTTCCAGCTTGCAGGCCAGCACCCGGAAACAGGGAGCATTTTGCTGCCTGATGTGAGACAGGGGAGCGACAGAAAGAATGTGTTTCTCAGAGAGCCAGGATAGGCAACCCGAGAAGGGAGGTTAAGCAAGGCTCTCTGGAGATGTCTCTTTGAAATCTGGTTCTCCTCAAGAACTGCTCAACTGCTTCCCCACTCACCGGGCCTTATTCCCAGAGTCCATGAGGTCCTGGATGTCATTGTAGGAGGTCACAGCCAGCTTGGAGAGGTCCTCAACGTATGGGCCCATAAGGGGGTGCTCCCTCACCCGCAGGTTCCCCTTGTTCTTGGGGCTCAGCAGGTCCCTCACACGCTCACAGTATATCTCCATGTAGCTCACCTAGGAGACAAACGCAGCTTGCAGCAAGTGGGACCCAGGCACCACCTGGGACGTGGTCAGCCAGCCTCACCGTCAGTGCTCAGTTTGCTTCCAGCACAACACACAAGCACAGGCAGCAGAATGAGGCCTCAGAGCAGCTCACCTGCCTGCACACACTCCCCAGTGCCCCAAGCCCAGGGAAGGGGATACCCCAGAGACGGCCACACGATGGGGCCTGTCTGCACACCAACATGGCTCCAAACAGCTCAGTAGGTGTCCACAGCAAACTCATCCCCGAGTTACGTGGAGCTGACAGAGGGCACTATGCAAGCAGGTCATTCGTTCAGCTGGTGGCGGTGACGTAGCCAAATAAATGGGGGCCGTTTTGTCCACGCACATGCACAGGAGAGGGAGGGGAAAGAAGAAAGAGAAAAGGAGGGAAAGCGTTCTCCTGTGCACACACGATGCAGCGATGGGATGTGCTGTGGACAAGCTTACACAAAAGCTTGCTGGGACAGGGCAGGAAACCAAGCAGGGTTTCAATGAGAATTAGCAGGGTTTGCTCTTCTCTTCGACACAACAGACACAAGAGAGTAACCCCGGACTCCCTTGGTGCACGTATCTCTTGTGGAGCTGGATGGGACCTGCTGGAAGGTCACGTGTGGTCTCTAGCAGCCATGTTCCTGGGAGGTTTGTGCTAGCCTACACAGGGGATGCAGTGCATACCTCCACGGAATAGGACATGTTGTCATTCGTCGTGTCGTTGATTCGGGAGAAGAGGTCCTCGCACAGCTGCAGAGAGAAAAAGGCCAGGCTGCTCAGTCCCCGGTCAGAGGGCTGTTCCTGTCTGGGGGTGCCCAGATCACAAGGATTTCTGATGTTGTCTACTTCCTTGCCTCAGAAACCAGCATAGAGACATGGGAGTGGGAGAGACAGCTCTTGCAAGAGCTGGCAGAAACGCCCCTGCTAATGTCGAGGGGCCTCTGCACTCTGACACAAAGCCTCTTCTGTGCAGCACTGATCTGTGCATACAGCAGCTCTCAGCAAGCAGAGCCATGGAGGCCCTGAGTGTAAATCGTTTTTTCTCCCAGTGACACCCCTGCAGCTCACTTCCCTCAGCTCAGTTCCTGCTTTCCATTCCCTCCTCACTGTGCTTTCTCTTTGGGCACCGCACGCAGCTGAGGTGAACTAGCAGCTTTTCACCAGCCTAGCCAAACAGTACCTGTGGGATAATGCCTTGCTGGTCCTTCTCTTGCTTCCCCATCATGGTGTAGGATTTTCCAGCACCCGTCTGCCCATAGGCAAAGATGCAGACGTTATAGCCTTCAAAGGCATGTTGCAACATCTCCTCACCAATGTCGCGGTACACCTGCTTCTGAGATGCATAATTGATGTCTGCGGGCTGCGGAGAGGAGAGACAGGTTAGAAGGAGGGAGAGAAGAAAAGAGAAATTAAACGTAAGATCAGAGAGGGAAAATAACAGGGACCCGATACCTCTTCCACACTCACTGGGGGATTCCTGTCACCCCACTGAAATTACACAGACTGGAAGAGGGTCACAGCCCAAATCATTGCCATATGAAGCCACTTTTGAGTCACTTGTGTCTCAAGAAGACACTCACACAGGATGCCCTGAGGCTGCTGCAGGCCTGGGAAGGAGACCTCAGCAGCACCTTTGAGCGCTCCTGGGCTGCTTCAGACCCTGTGCCACTGCCCAGCTCTGGTTCCTGTTACTCTGGGATAGGGAGAGATGAGGGCAACGGGCCAGAAATGCTCCAAGACACTTGGAGAACAGCAGGAGTTAGGCTCTGCCCCACTACACCTGGGAGGGCCCTGAGCTGAGAGGGCTCTCACCTGTGAGCTGAGAGCTAGGAGATCTACAGAGGAGATCTGCTGACCTGCAAATTCAGTCCCTTGCTAGGACTTTGCTGGTGGGTACCAGGGCACGGATCCCATCAGAAGGGACACAAGCACAGGCTCAAACGCAGGACTGACTTTGGCAGCAGCTGAAGACATTCCTCCTCCATGGCCTGGCCTCCCTTGCATGGAGGAAGGCTGCCGGCTTGCTCATGGCAGTTGTACCCAGTCAGGGCCCACGAGCAGGTACCTCAGTGGCCCTTGCAGACTGTTAATGGTCTGTGAGTTGGCGCTGACAAAAACCACTACAGATCTTTGTTGCCAGCAGACGGGCCCTGATACAGGCTTTTTCACTCCAACGCCTTCCTCGCTTGCCAGCCAGCCCTGCCAGGGCTCTCAGGGCTGCGTGGGAAGCTCAGCAAAGTTGCAGGAGTTTAAAACTGCTCTTGCCCACGAGCGGCTCGCAGGTGGCTGAGCGCTGGCTGCAGTGCCTCCTGCGGGCCACTGCTCTGCACACAGCTCACCTCCTGCCTCCCATGAGCACACCCTCAAGCTGCCACAAGCAGCCCAAATTCAGGCTGTTCTGGGGATTATCGCTGCCTGGAGACCCCTATGTTAAAATCTCCGTACAGTGTAAGGGCCAGAAGAGCACAGACATAAAGGGAGCACTGTTACGTAGCTGCTGTGGGGTATTTCTCACCCAACGCTCCTGCTGGTGGCAGGCAACAACCACCTATAAAAGCCGCAGGGCTTTTTCCATAACTCTGCTATGTGAATCTCCCTCTTCAGCACCCAGCAGTCCTGCACAGAGGCAAGATCCCATGGTCCAGCTGGGACCAAGCCAGTTCACTTGTCAGGGCAGTTACCTCGGACACAACTCTGTCACCCCGGGGGGCCGTTATCTCCCCTGGCTTTGGGGCCCTCCCATCTCATCTAACCCACCGCTGAACCCACCCTCCAGGGAGGGCTCAGGCGTCTTTCCACTTACCGTGGTATGAGACCAGTAGGAATAGTCAAAACTGAAGCTTTTTGGCGTCTCTTTGGGCTGCTTTGGATTCAGGATAGCTGGAGGCAAACAGATAGGAACACGATGAAAGCCGTAAGGCCTCTGCCTTTCCTTAGCAACCAAGCCCTTGCGGAGACAGGAACGAATGGCAGAGCAGGCACTCCCTCGCTCGCAGGCTGCTGCTTTAACCTGGAAGCATTTTCTACAGCCACTGCAGCTTGCACATGATGCTAGACCAGCTCCCCCCCACCCCCACAAAAGACAACCCACTATGACCGCCCTGGCCAGA